TTTACCGTCACCGTGATAAGTATGTTTAATTAATTGTGTTAATATGCCTAGATTGCCTACTCTCAAAGTCATGTAGTATATTATTGACTCAATAATATAATACATTAACCGTGCTTTAACTGAACCTCCTCATGACACAAGAGAGGACGAAAGGATTGTAATTTCCCGTGTTCAGTGAATGCAACAGAGGCAAGTCACCAGACCAACCAGAGAGTTGCATGGAAATACACGTGTGCTGCAGGAGAGTAGTCGGCGGGACCTCCAACGGCACAGGACATAGGGTTGGCAGGACCCCCGGCAGAAGAGTAGTCGGCGGGACCCCCAACGGGACAGGACATGGAGTAGGCAGGACCCCCAGCGGAACCTCCAACGGCACAGGACATAGGGTTGGGACTTGAGAGGGGACTCGAGCTGTGACTTGAAAGGGGACTTGAGAGGGAACTTGAGGAGACTCGAGAGGTGACTTGAGAGAGAACTCGAGAGATGACTTGAAAGAGAACTCGAGGGGGAACGAGAGGGGACTTGAGAGGGAACTCGAGAGGTGACTCGAGAGGTGCCTTGAGAGGGAACTTGAGAAGGGACTTGAGAGGGAACTAGAGAGGTGCCTTTAGAGGGAACTCGAGAAGGGACTTGAGAGGGAACTAGAGAGGTGCCTTGAGAGGGAACTCGAGAAGGGACTTGAGAGGGAACTTTTGTCGGTCGGTACGCCGACAGGACACGGGGAGCTGGGATCGGCCGGAACGCCGACAGGACATGAGGGGCTGGAGTGGGCCGAACCACTGACATGACACGGGGAGCTGGCGACGACCGGAGAGCCAGTACTGGAGCCGAAACCATGGCTGCTGGGGCCAGAACTGGGGCTGGAACCATGGCTGTGTGGGCCGGTTCTGGAGCCGGAACCATGGCTGCTGGGGCCAGAACTGGGGCTGGAACCATGGCTGCTGGGGCTGGTGATGGAGCCAGAAACATGGCTGCAGGGGCCGGTGCTGGAGCCGGAAAGATGGCAGCAGGGGCCGGTGCTGGAGCCGGAAACATGGCTGCAGGGGCTCGGGCTGGTAGCCTGGACCTGGGTCTCCTTCTCTTAGGAGCCTTTTGGAGGCTCTGTGGACCTCCAAAAGCCAGAAGAGACCCATCAAAAGCGTTCTCGAAAGAAGCTATGTTGGGAACTGTGGCAGGCAGGGGGTTAGCATGCCTGGGGCTAGCAGGCCGGGAAACGCATGTCTGGAGGAAGTCCATAATCCAGCCAGGTAAGAACTTCACTAACCCTGGTTTCTCTGTTGCCCTCTGGTACGCCTCTGCCAGGGCAGCCCTCTCCATTCACCATAGCAGCAAGCCAGCAAGCAGGTAAATGAATATAACTCCACTTCAAATGGATCATCTGCTGTGTGTGTGGTTGGTTCATTCTGTCACGGTATG